GAACATGTCTTCAACCAACAGCTAAAATATTTAGCTGTGCTCTGCATTAAAATTGTGAAGACAGGAAACCTACTACAGGGCCCTGATTAACCACGGTTTTGATTTCTGCAGTTTTAGTTACTCACAGTCAACCAAGTTCTGAAAAAAATTAAATGGGAGATTCCAGAAATAAACAATTCATAAGTTTTAAAATGTGGACCATTCTGAGTAGCATGATGAAGTCTCAGTATGTCCTGCTACATCCTGCCTTGGATGTGAATCATCCCTTTGTCCAGCTTGACCCACCCAATAGTCACTTAGCAGCCGTCTGGGTTATCAGATACAGTGTAGTGGTATCACAGTGCTTGTGTTCAAGTCGCCCTTATTTTACTTAACAGTGGCCCCAAAGCACAACGGTAGTGATGCAGGCAATTCAGATATGGCAAAGAGAAGCCTGAAAAGGGCTTCCTTTAAGTGAAAAGGTGAAAGTTCTCAACTTAATAAGGAAAGAAAAGCAATCGTATGCTGAGGTTGCTAAGATCTATGGTAAGGAGTCTTCTATCCGTGAAATTGTGACAAAGGAAAAAGAAATCTGTGCTAGTTTTCACACCTCAGACTGCAAAAGTCATGCCCACAGTGCATGCTAAGCACTAGTTAAGGTAGGAAAGGCATTAAAATTTGTGGGTGGGAGACATGAACAGAAAACGTGTTCTGATTGACAGCATTGTGTTGGGCCAGAAAGCATATTGAGCCTCTACAGAGACTTCAGCAAGAGATCCTCTGAAACAAGTGACACCAAGCCATTTACTGCTAGTAAGGGATGGTTACACAGATGCAGGAATAGGTGTAGATCAGAAGATATAAAAATTACTGGAAAGGCTGCTGAAGAAGCTGCTGCCGCATTTCTGGCAGAAGTGAGGAAGTTGATTAAGGAGAGAGACCACATTCACATAACTTTTATCACAGTATATTGTTATAATCGTTCTATTTTATTATTACTTATTGTTGTTAATCTCTTACTGTACCTAATTTATAAATTAAACTTTATCATAGTTATGTATGTATAGGAAAAAACATAATATATATAGAGTTCAGTACTATCTCAGTTTCAGGCATCCATTAGAGGTCTTGGAATCTATCTCCACAGATAAGAGAGTCTACTGTATGACCATTTTAAATGTTTCTCAAAAAATACTTATATCTGACTTAAAAATAGTATAAGTGTGTTAATAGTAAAGACAATTCTCTGCCTGGTCTCTTCCTACCTACTCTTACCTTTAATCCTCCTTTCAATTTCTAGTCAGTATATCACTATTTTAGTTCCTCTGTTATTACCTTCACAATTTTACATATACTTAAGGTATTTTTTCCTTTTCCACCAAATGTAGACTTTATATCTTGATTCCCCAGTGTATAGTTAGGCAGCTGGTTCTGTACCATCCTTAGTAACTAAAACTGTTAGTTATTTATTGTGTAGAATCTTGATAAATGATAATTATGTTATAATCAATTGCATCTTAATTTTATTTTTAAGCAAAATTTTATTTTATGCCTATTGTTTTGAAACCTCCTTACAGAAGTATATACAACTTTTTTTTTCTACCAGAGGCCACTAGTGATAATAACTAAGGTCAAAATAAGAACTCTTCTAGCTTTTATTTCAGATTTTTATTTAAGAAGGGAAAATATAAAATAACAGTATACATCTCTGTCCTTTAAATTCAGAAATAGGGAATTAGAGAATAAAAGTTATTATTAAAATTCAATTATATAATAGCATTTAAGAGAAGGGGCAAAATGGTAAATGGTGCTGGACATACATACAAGGGAAACTAAATAACACAGAGAGGAAGGGGCACAGATTGACTTGTGCCTTCTTATAGGTAGAAAGATATAAAAACAGAAAGTCCAAGAGAGGAGACTTAAACAAAGATAAATATATAGCAACATGATGAAAGATTTCGTGGTGACTCTTTAAAGTTCATTTTAATATATCCCTGGAAAAGCAAATAACTGTTCCATAATTTAGTTCATTTGAAAACACCAAATTTAATATATTGTATTTATAAAAAGCAGTTAAAAATTATATTAGTGATTTGGGAAAATATTTTTAAAATTAAAAGTTTTCACTTCCAAAAAACCTTGAAATTCAAGTCACTTGACAAAGTAACTGATTTAAGAGCAGTTAGAAAATACATATGTGAAAGTATATGTTAAAAGCATAGAAAGTAAACTAGTAAAAAGAAAAAATACTTCTAATGATAATTAATATTTTTACATTGCTCCACAAGTCTTATGTATGCAGTTTAGTTAGAAGTATTTTACAGCTATATTATTTATATGTCTTTCTTTTTTACCAGAGAGAGAATATAAAAAGTCAACCCTAAATAATTGTGGATATATTATATATAAAGGATTTTCCATGGTATTCTAATGGGAATTCACACAAATCCAGCAAAACTAATGCTTTGTAGTAGTTCTTAGTGTAATTAAATAATTTGCTCTCCTTTTTTAATTCAGTCACAAACCCCCAGAATAATATTATATGTACTTTATGAGTTAGAGCCAACAACAACTTTCTGTGGATCCTCAAGTCATGAGATAAATTTGTCTCATGAGTTGGAAGTAAACTTGAGACAAGTCTCAGAAATTCCAGCAATGAAACCCAAGAAATGTGGTACTTCTCCCGCCTACATTAAGCTCTAATCCCCAAAACTTGATTCTTATTTAGCTTACAGTTTCAAAGCATGTATTATTTATTATTGCTACCATATATAAATGAGCAAGTTAGGCAGCTTGAGAAATATACTCTTTTACAAAACTTAGAGTACCAATTAGTGTAACTCTTCAGTGTTTATTACCAGACTAGTATTTGTTATTGATCAACATGGTGTACCAAATGGTACTCTAAGCTTGAGTCCACACAGTACAATAAAGGAGGGAATTATCCCTTGTCAATAAATCCCAGAAGAATGGATGGATAATTTAGCTCAAAAATGTGATCCACAAAGTGAAGTTTGGACTGCAGTGCTCTATACCAGTGCTTTGTATTGGGTAAATAAACTGGATAATTACTAGTATTCTGTTCACTTCAATTTGTGTCCTTAGGCCAAGCCTAGAAATTGCTATTACACTAGAAAACTAAAGCATCGTGCTCTATACTAGAAATTATGTAGCTATACTTGGCCAGGCAACAAGAATTGCAGGAGAAATAGCATCTTTGAACAACACTAAGGAGGTGCAGCAATTCACTGAATTCTGTTTTGTTTTTGTAAACCTGCTCAACATTGTAGTATACATTTCTATAAAAGCATAGGTGAGTGTGTTTTACAAACTTGTCTCTCTTTTTATGTAAGTCTTTTTTATTGCAAAAACAAGTTTCTATTCCGCAATTAATTAGAACAATAGTGACATCCTATGTCTAGCTTTCAGTACTAAGAGCAACTTCCCCATTAAAATAATTGACTGTCAAAGGATGTAGATCAAATCTTTCTTCCTAGGTCTGCCTGTAACCATATATATTTAAACTAAAAGAAGATAAATGTTTGGTGGTAACTTTTTCTCTTACTCCAACATTATGTATTAAAATTTTATGCAAGTTTAATTAAAGTGAAAAACAGTTTGCCTTTCATTTTTTAAGAGTGTTGATATTATAACGCAAAATAGAGCTATCTGACAAATGGTAGGTATTCAATTAATGTACACTGAATGAAATTGCATGTTTTTGCTTAAAATGGGATGATAGATTGATGTTTCATCTTAATATCTAAGAAATATTATTTCTCCTTTTATACTTCTATGCTTTATCAGAAGTTTAGAATGTTGGCATTCATAGGTAACCAACATTCTCGATAACCACATTTAAATCTAGGTTTCCTCAGGAAATACGAAAATCATTGGCTTTCAGTGATAATAACTTCCACTACTATAGAATAAACATGTTTTAGTGTTTTTATCAATTTATATATCGGGAAATATATGCTACAAATATACTGAGATATTATATCTTCTAATGGAATATTAATTCATGAATGAATAAACTGATCTACAAGTGAGAAAAGTACAACAAATACACTAGATCCAGGATTTATTTTGAGTTCTTTTCATAACAGAACTGTTGAATTCATACTGATCTGTCTTCAGCATATTTCTGCTCCCTTCTTGGCTGTTCTTAGTATTTGTAATGTGTCTAACGAGATTGAGGGATGAAATCCATGGTTGTAAAATAGTTGTATGTATTACTGCTCTATGTAAGAGTTAAATTTAAAACCTTGACTTGATTACAAAGAGCCTACCCCAAAGTTTTTCATATTCCTATTTCATGAAGCCGTAGGATTCCATGAAATAATTTGCAAGTGAAGTAGACTTTGAATTTTTCAATCTGATTTTTTTCATAATCTGTTTATCTGAGACTAATCTCTCCAAATCTAATTCCTTTCTCTTATTCAATCTCCTAATTACTTTTTCATCCTCACCACCCTGTTTTTTGCTATCAATTATATTTTGGCTACCAATTATAGTATATCAGAAATCAGAAAGTGAATAATGTGCGTGTTGCCACCTATAGACAGAGAAGTAATTATACTTATTTATGACAGAGAAAAGCATAATCTACACAGAGTTCTTTTTTCCAACTCCTACAACCACCATTTTCAAACTTGTTACTTAAATATTTATCTATTTGTTGTTGATGTTGCCATTTCAGAAGGCTGTGCCTTAAAATCATTTACTTAAACTTCTATCACTTTATCATTTTATTTGCCTTTTATATTTTACTCAAATCTACTATCCTATTAAAGTTCTGTGATTTCAGAAAGTTTAAAGAGACCTGTTTAAACCAAATAACTTAGTCATATCCTAAACTAACTGCTACATCTTAGTTTACCTCTGGAGTGGGGGAAATTACCAATATTTGTTCCCAAGAATGAAAAGCTTCCCTTGCTACAGTCTATTATCATCAGTCTTTTGTTCTGTGCCTTCTCTGTAATGATATAGGTTTGTTTCTCCTTTATTCTTTGCAGAGTGCTGCAGCAGCTCCCAGTCCAGTGCTAGGAAACATTCCCCCAGGAGATGGCATGCCAGTAGGTCCTGTACCACCAGGGTTCTTTCAGGTACTCAGAGAAACTCTGACTAGGAATGTTAAGGCATAGGAACTCCTGTTCGATTTTATTGAAATATATGAAGGAGAATGAGGCTATTTTAATCCTTAAGCTAAACATAATGCTGTGCAGCCAACTCTTGATTATTCAGAAACCAGTTATCTTCTACGTAGATTAGCCCTTCCTTCCAATATTTTCTTTATTGTCAAATTTTTATTCGTATATTTTACCATTTCACTGTGCAAGTAAGAAAGAAAGGTAGCTGAAATGCAAATTAGCTAAGCTAACTGTGGTGAAGATTTGGTGGGAGAAAAGGCTAATGGATGAGGTTTTGGAATGATATATGGATTTTAACTATCCAAGCCATCCATATCTCCACAGACTAAAGATAATCAAGATTTGGCTGTACTTTCACATTATGGCTAAGTCATAACCTATTCATTTATCAAAATTATAGGCTATAACAAAATATTTTGAGAATCATCTTTGTGGCTTTTAAACTGGAATTTTTATCAATATCATTATATAACATTTATAAAATCAGATTTTAAAATACATATGTTAGTATTTTAAATTTGCAACAAGTGCATTTATTTTAGCAAAAGATGATAATGATTTTAGAATTACATCACTTTTCAATTTTATGGCATCCACATTTTTTTTTTTTTTTTTTTTTTTTTTTTTCTTGGGCAGCCATAGCCCACAGGCCCAGCCGCTCCGCGGCATGTGGGATCCTCCCAGACCGGGGCTCGAGCCCATGTCCCCTGCATTGGCAGGCGGACTCTCAACCACTGCGCCACCAGGGAAGCCCTATGGTATCCACATTTAAATCTGACAGTTTTTTAACCCAAAGCTACATAGATTCTGAAGTTTATTTTTTGTTAACTCCATAGTTAATTTTGTAACACCCTTTGAGAAAATTAGGAAGAAATTAGGAGTTAAGAACTGCAGTTGGAAGGCATTACAGGAATTAATGTTATATTCTATATTGTTAATGAATTACATCAGGTACTTATAAACTAATTTGTCACTTTAGTGTTTTATATTTTCAAAGTCCTTGATAATCATTTGTTAATTAATACATACCATCATTTCAGTATAGATCAATGTACTTTATAAATGTGAAAATGGAGAAATAAAATTATAAGTAATTTTCCACAGTACAGCAATTGAATAAAAAAAGTCATAATTAGAACCTAGTACTAAGTCTGAAATGTAAAGTCCTTTAGGGTATGCTATTTGTCTGTCTACTGTATATTAATATTCAAAAGTCTTAGAGCTCACATTCTGTCTTGAGGCCCCTTTCTTAAAATCTAGGAAAATATTATAACTCTTGGTTATTAATTAAACAATCACTGTTTAAGATAATAATAATAATAGCTAACACTTAGTAACTGCTTACTGTATGCCATGCTTTGTTCTAAATATTTCATGTGTATAAACTCTTAATCCTCACAATAACCTAGGGGTAAAGTAAGTATTATCATCATTACCATTGCACAGATGAAAAAACCAAAGCATGATAAGCAGTTTGCACAAAGTCAGAAAGTCACAGGACTGGGATTCAAGGCAAGGCTTTCTGAACTTCTGCCATTGACTTTACCTTTTAAAGTTCATAGTTGATCGTTACTCATAAAATATTTCTAGCTCATTTTATATTTTTTCCTCATGCTCTTATTTCTCTTACTAAGGATAGATTGGAGTTAGGGAGTAAATCAGAAGAGTTTATCTACTTACAAGAGCTAGCAGAAGCTCTCTAAGTGGCACTTTAAAAAAGAGGCAGTGGGTTGGGAAGGAAGTCAGGTTCTTCCTAGAGTTAAGCAAAGATGTATAAACCTATACATTTTCATTTTTACATTTTGTAGAATGAACCATTCTTCCCTTACCTGCCTTCTGCCTGAGTCTTGACAAGAGTAGTTGAAACAGAATTAACTTCTGTTTTAATCCAATTAGATAAACACTTGACTACTACTAGATGCCAGGCACTGTGGTAGGCATATAAAAATGAGTGTGTATAATATGTACCTTCCTGAAGCTCACTGTCTAGCCAGCGAGTCATTATTAAAAATAAATAACTGTAATACAGCAAGATATGTGCTGTAACAGAGTAAAGTTCTGTGTTGACCTAGAAGAAAGAGCTATAAAGTCTTCCTGAACTGGAGCTAAGAGTGGTTTGGAAAAAGTTTTCTAAGAAAACAACAAGCAGAGGAATGATATTCCAGAAAGTGGGAAAAGTATAAGCAAAAGTGTGGAAGCATCAGAATGACCTGTGCAGAGGTGTTCAGGGTAATATGAATGGAAAGTAGAGGGGAGGGCAGGCAGGAATTCCTGGAAATGAAATTGGAAGATAAGCTGTAGCATCTTGAGAAGGGCCTTATATGCCATGTTAAGAACTTGAGTCTTTATTCAGTAGGCATGTAGGAACTGTCAGACATCTTTAAGAAGGGCAGTGACCTGAATTCAAACTATAGATTTAGGCTTTTTTAGGCACCTATGATATAGTTGTATACAAAATCCCTGCCGTTAAAAAACTTACACTGTGGTGAATGAGAGAGAGAGAGAAGGCAATTAGAATTTAGAAAGAAAATGGCTATATTAAATGAGTAGTGCGTGTTTTTAGAGCACATCAGAAGGCCACCAAACCCAATCTTGGGAGAGTCATTGTCAGAAAAATATTGTCAAAACAGTAAATAGGGCTTCCCTGGTGGCGCAGTGGTTAAGAATCTGCCTGCCAATGCAGGGGACACGGGTTTGATCCCTGGTCCGGGAAGAACCCACGTGCCATGGAGCAACGAAGCCCGTGCGCCACAACTACTGAGCCTATGCTCCAGAGCCCACAAGCCACAACTACTGAGCCCACAAGCCACAACTACTGAGCTCGCCATGCCACAACTGCTGAGCCTGCGCACCTAGAGCCTGTGCTCCTCAACAAGAGAAGCCATTGCAATGATAATCCCATGCAACGCAAGGAAGAGTAGCCCTGGCTCACTGCAACTAGAGAAAGCCCGTGGCAGCGAAGATCCAATGCAGCCAAAAATAAATAAATTAAATAAATTTTAAAAATAAATAAAAAGAGAAAATAACAGGCATGAATTCCAATTGAGACTATGCTAATAACCAGAAAGTTGGGGGGAAAAAAAGTAAATAAAATCCAAATTGGCATCTAAAGATGAATTAGGCAAAGGAAGCAGAGAGATATGGAAAGAATATTCCAGGAAGAGGGAAAAAAATTTATGAAGACCCAGACAAGAAAGGACAGAGACCAAATAATTCCAAAAAAACAGAGCTTAATTAGCTAAAGGGAGAATGGCTGGTGATGAGGCTCCAGAGTAACCTTGAGGAGCCTGGTAGGTTAGTTGAGTTTGAACTTGATCTTAAGGGCAGTAGTAAGCTATTGAAGGACTTTAAGCAGGAAAGAGGCATGTTCATATTTGCGTTTATAGAAAAATCACTCCAGTTATAGGGTGTAGTGTGGATTGCAGAGGGACAGGTTTGAAAGTAGGGAGACTACTTAGGAGGCTATTACAGTAATCCAGGTGAGATTTGATGACAGGGACCACAGAATGAGGAGTAGGTTTGAGGTAGGACAGATGAAGAGGTTCCTGTGGGACCTCCAATTAGAGATATCCCTTAGGCTGATGAACATACAGGTTTGAAGCCTAAGACAGTGGTCTAGGCTAGAGATAAAAATTGCAGGATTGTCATCATATCAAGGACCTGAATCCACAGGCATAGATCGATTGTCCAGGGATAAAGTACAGAATGAGAGAGTAAAGGGGTATACACCTGGACTCGAAAAACACTGACCCTTGAAAGAAGAGCAAAAACAACAGAACCCATTAAAGAGACTGGTGCAGACTGTCAGCTGGTTGGCTGTGACAGTAGCTCAAGAAAGAGACTCTGTGGACCTATTTAAGAACAGTGGCAGCAGGACTGGGGAGGAAGAAGCTATGCCTAGTATGTTTGATAGGCCTTAGTTGATTAACCAAGTTAGGGGTAGAAGGGAAAGTGTTGGAGGGATCAAGCATGACTCTGAGGTTCCTACTTAAGGCCCCTGGAAATTTTTCATGTCTTAATCTAAGTTAGGAAAGATAGCGGGTAGAAAAAGTTTTAGATATGTTTGAGCATGATAAATGTCATTCCTTTTTATCCAGGGTGACCATTCCAGCTAATCTTTTAAATACTTGTTTCCCCTATTCAGTAGGCTTAAGTATGGCCAGTCTCCCTAGAAATGCCTCCCAGAAATATTGGAAAGCTCAAGTCATCAAACTTTTGAAAAAGAAATAGTATGTTACCTTTGGTACCTATCATGATGAGATCAGGGTACTCAAATGTTTCCTAAGTATCAATATCGGTTTCCTATCCTTCATCATGATTCTGACCACAATGCTTGTTGTTAATGAAGAGCAGCTACCTTCTATAAGTAGAAATAGCACGATGACAATCATAATTCAAGTCCAAACGCCAGTTTCTAATCCAGTTCCATAGAGATAGTGATGTCCAAGAATTATCCAGAGTATGAAAATAGTTTTGAATCCCCGTTCTTATTTGGGGATGGCTGGATGGGACCAGACCAGGAAAAGACTGAGCCTATTAGAATTTAATGAATAAAGGAAAGTAAAGCAAGAAGAATTTTAATTAACACATAAACCTTCACCAAGCTTCAACAGTTCTGAGCTCTACTCACTGTGTGATCCTACCATAAGAAGTGCATTGAAAACGTTCTCCTAAATAGACAAACATTCTCGTTTTATCCCTGTTTACACTGCAGAACAAGCCCCCTCTTTTCCATTATAAGTATAGACTTAAATATATTACCAAGTGGAATTATTACAAACTCTAAATTTGTGAATTCATAACTGCATTTGAATAATAGTAATTAACTCAAACTCCAAAATAAATAGTTACAATTAATACCCCATACATTTAATAAGTCCATCCTGGAAGACGGTCTCTAGATTAGCATCTGTCAACCATGTTGATATCTGTCACATCTATTTGTGACAGATATC